AAACGTGCTTCTGCCACCAAATTCCATGTTTATCTGCTTCCCAACATTATTGTCATAATTAGTGCAACCCACTTGTTCCTCATCCAAAATTAGTGGTTAATGTGCATGGACCAAACTTGTAATTGTGGAGCTGAAATTAACTAATTTATTAGAAACTTGCCTAATCCTGATGACATTGCTCGGTTTTTTTTACTAGTTATATTTCCTATCAATAAAATCCTATTGCTATTCTCTCAAAAAAAAAAAACACTACTTTTCTTAGAAAAATCAAACAGTTTCATAATTTTCCAAGGCCAATGTAGTTTCTTTCAATGAACCCAAATGGAGGCTTGACCATCTGGTTTGATTCAGATTGCAAATGCTGCTACATTGCATCAGAGTCAATAAAACCTAACAATTTTTGAAACCATCCTCCGTGACAGAAGAAACCAAACCAACCAAGAGATGAAATAGTTTGCTTGTCAAGTTCAAACATCCTAAATAATTATTGCTCAATGAGAAATAATAATAATCAAAGAAACTAAATGACAAACATTTTATAATAAATTCCAGAAAACCCATGTTAGGGAGCAAGCTTCCTTTGTCTTATGCAGGGATAAGTATTTCAACTAGTATTTTATTTGGTGGGGGAACACCAAAGAGAGGGGATAAGTAGGAATATTAAGGAGGATGCATTGAATTATATAGTCAATCAGCAAACCCTAATTCCTCACTAATCAATAATCAAGTTTTTAAACAAATGATATTGAAAGACAGACGAGGGAAATTCGAACATAGTACCTCGGTTACAATTATATATTAAGTGCGTATGGTACTATAGTTATTGTTCCTTGGTCCAGATGTTGTGCACTGAATCATGCATATATTAAACCCTACCTCGTGGTATTGAAATCTGTCTCACACTAGGAGACAATCTCTCTGGCATGTAATTAGTGGAGATCCGATTCTTTCAATTGTTTATCTTCTACTTGGTGAAATCTGGGCCCTCTGTTTTAATTGCTCATTTAATTATTAACGGGTTTAAGTTAATCTAATCAATCACACCAGAGGTTGGCTTTAAATTAGTGGCCTACTTGACAAGTTTAAGTGGGAAATAACCAGAAGCCAGAGGAGATTAATATCTCTCTCTTGAATATTAATATAATATTGAAGATAAAATGAGCAGGGCAATGTGGATCAAACCGGGCCACATCCCACATTGAGAGGTCGGTCCAAAGCCGCTGATGAGAAAAAAACAAAATAGTGGCCCAGATGATGGAAAGAAAGTGCCATCAAAACAACCACATGTGCCTGCCTCTCTCTCCTCTCTCTCTCTCTCTTTAATTTCTATTTGGTGCATCACCCACTAATCATTGCTTAGCTAAAATACGAAATCCATTGGTCCCCTTGCTCGAACCAATTCGTGCAGGCCAACCCATTCGGTGTTTTCGAATGACCAATTTCCACATCATCAACCCACCAAAATTATTCATCCAGATAAAAAAACTGTTTCCGGACCAGTTAAAACACAACACATGTTGTACGTTTAAATTTATAGAAAAATGAAATTGGAGATTCCAAATAAATATTATAACAAAGAAACATACCGGCCTTGGAAGACAAGAATCAATATGATCAGACAGACCCATGTTTTCTTCCTTCCTTTCCGGTGACAAGTTGTCTTAGCATTCATTTAAGTTGGACCGTAGATTGTAGATGTCACTCTATGATTGGTAAATTTTTCGAAGCGGCATTTAACATATTTGGTAAAACGAGTATTAAAATGCATTGGGGCACGTTTCAAATGCTTCCATCCTGCGTTAAGAGACAACAAGGGGGAAAATGTTTCACCTGCCGTCCAGGGTGACGTACAACTCAAAACATTAATATCACCAAACACTTGCCAATTCTCTTTGAATCATCTTTAGTTGCACCTAATCAGGGTTTAGCTGCTTTGGTTGACCTAATTCATCTTTCATTTATTTCTGCTTTTTTTTCAGTTTACAAACGATAGGAATCTAGAAGATACTTTCACAACGGATAGGTCAATACAACCACAATAAAACTACATCGCCCCACAATTTAGGCTATCCACAACTAGTCATTAAACTTTTCGCAAATATATGTCATTCTCGTCATCCATGATAGTCGAACATGAGACCTCATCTTATCAAATGAAGATAAATACCACTAGACCAAAAGTTAGTTAATTTCATTTTTATTGTAGTGTTCTGATGAAGATTAATATATAAATGTTTTGAATTTTGTGATTATACATAGTACTCAATGAAATGTCGCATTCATTTAATAGTACAAAATTAATTACAAAACCAGCATTGAATAGAAACCACAAAATTAAATGAGCCAACAAGCATTGTCTGATCAATTAGGGTTACATTATTTATTTTTCTCAATCACTATGTACCATGTTCAATGCGAGTGGTCTATTGTTTTTCAACCTTATATTTATTTTTTGGATTAATCGTTTTATTAGTCCTTAAACTTAGACCCGATTTGCATTTAAGTCCTTTAATTTCTAAAATCCTTTCTGTGATCCTTCAACTTCAATTTTGTTAGGACAAATGGTCATGCTGTCAATTTTATTAACTTTTCTGTTAAATGCAAGGGCAAAATAGTATTTTTGTATTAAATTGATTAAAACATGAATAAAAAGTTAAGATTAAACTCTCTCTCCCCCCCTCTAGCCCGATTTCTACTCCATCCAAACTTTATTTTTTTATTTGATTTTTTTGGTTATTTTAAAGATATGATTTTTTATTCATGTTTTTTGTTTTAATATAAAAGTACCATTTTGCCCATGCATTTAACAGAAAAAGTTAACAAAATTGACATCATGACAATTTGTCTTAACGAAAGTGAAGTTTAAGGACCACGAGAACGATTTTGAAAATTGAGGGGCTCAAATGCAAATCGGGTCTAAGTTCATAAATTAATAAAAAAAAATTAACTCTTATTTTTCTTAAGGCTTATTTACTGTAGTGCCCCCTGAAACTTTGGTCAAATCTCATTTTGCCCCACAAAAGTTAAATTGGCCTACTTAACCCCTTGACCATAGTTTTTTGTTCCACTTTACCCCTGCTGTTATCTCCATTCATAACTCTATCAATTTTGATGATGTGGCATGACTATTTTCATGTTTTTATCACAAATGACAATGTGTCATGTACATGGCCCACTTTTTTTGCTGAAGTAAAATAACATATTAATAAAAATTAAAATAATGTAATTCCTGTTTAATTAAAAAAAATGAATGGAAAATTTAATTAAAAAAATAACTTCTTCTTCATCTCTCTCAGTCTCTATGTGCCCTCTCCTTCCCCTAACTTCACCATCAGACCACAACCACCACCCAAAGCAGCCACTAGTCAAAACCCTAAACCTCACCGCCACCTTCTCACCCATCAAATCAACCACCTTTTCCAACCACACCTCCACCGCCATTACTACCTCATCTCATTCTCCCCAACCATCGCAGAGATCAATAGCCTCTCTGGCTATGACTTTGTTGTTGTCAACATGGAGCACGACCATGACGTCGTGTCCCAAGCCGGCCTCCACACCTTGGACGCCGCTCAAACCCCAGACAATCTACATAGCATCAGATTTTGTCCACCCATTTGCTTTTCCTCATCATTGAACATTTTTTTCAAAACTCAAAATCAATGCCAACAGAAAACAAAAACAGGGCAATGCTTCAGAAAATAAGCAGAGTAATATTGTCCACATTTATTTCGGTGTGTAGTATAAGAGAATGTTGTTTTTATTCATGTTTTTTGTTTTAATATAAAAATACCATTTTGCCCTTGCATTTAACAAAAAAAGTTATCAAAATTGACAGCATGACCATTTGTCCTAACGAAAGTGAAGTTAAAAGACCACATGAACGATTTTGGAAATTGAGAGACTCAAATGCAAATCAGGTCTAAGTTCAGGGACTAATAAAAAGATTAACCCTTATTTTTCTCAATCGCAAAGACATCTAACTATATATATATATATATTATCTATATATATAAAGCAAAAGGCAGAGAATGATGAAACATTTAAAAACTCCGAATATGCCCTTGGTTAATGTAAATATTAAGAATTGAAATTATTAATTAAACGAGGATAATATGGTAAATTCACACATTAAAAGAAAAATCAGATAATGAGTCCTATTTTTATGGAGCACAACTACCAATTATCTTTTTTAATTCTAAAATAAATATAATTTAAAAAAAACATTCTTACAGTCGTACAAGTGCGTGCGAAGAAGCTAATATATATAAAAAAAAAATTACTATCTTTCAAAATTATAAAAACATCTAAATTTAACTATTTTAATTTGTAAAAATCAACTTTTATCTAAAGCTTTGAGGATAACGCTCTAATTTTTAGTAGGAGTATGAGCTAGGAACCTCTTAACATCCAAAAAATAGAAAAATAAATAGGATTACTATAGCAGTCTTCTGAAATAAGATTACCGCTATAGTAAATCGGCAAGATAATAATACTTTTATTTATGTCATATCAAAATTATGTGATATATATTATCAATATAATGGAAAAAATATGGACAATATATCGAGATGTTATCAATATATGGGAGTATTATGACAATACTTATTAAATAATAAAACTTTGTTATACAGGCTAATATGAAAGGTAAGTCGTGATGTGACGTATGAAATTAGAAAAAAAAAAAGGAAAAAATAAGCTTGGGCAATCAAAAGAAAAATGAAATATTTTGATATAAAAAAATAGAAAATACTTTGATTGATTCATTATTTAAAAAAAAAAAAAAAAAAAAAAAAGGAAAAAAAAGAGAAGGAAGTTTGCATGAATATAAAAAATTAGAAAAACCAAATTAATCATGCATGCTGATTAAGTCAATAAAATAATAATAAACTATGAGAGAGAGAAAGAGAGATTACTTACCGTTGATCTTTAGTAATTAAGCATCCTTCAATTGCTGCTTCAACAAAGCTATCCTCACAAAAAACCAATCATTTAAACACAACAAACTGATATAAATTACCACCACCATAGCCATCTTCTCTGCAATTGCTCCACTCTCTTCGATCAGGTATTGATACAATTCTCCTATCCTATATTTATATTTTTCGCACATGTTCTTGATTTCATCGTAATAACAATCGTTTTTTGTGGTTATTTTTACAGGTTTGTCGATATATTTATCGGTCAATATTGTTGAATTTGACTATCTGCATATTCCGATCACCTTCCATGGCGGCATCGCTGATCTCAAACGTCGACGGAAGCCTCGACGCGTCGTTGATAGAGTCGTCTCGCAAAAAGCGGAGGAAAATCGGAGCCGTCGAATCGGATCGGAATCCTACTACGAACACCGGAGCCCGATGGAGATCCGAGACGGAACAACGGATCTACTCCACGAAGCTCGTGGAGGCGCTCCGTCAGGCTCGCCAGAGATCGTCGCGGGCTGCGAAGGTCTCCGGAGGCGGCAGGGAAGTGAAGGAGGCGGCGGACCGAGTTCTGGCGGCGGCGGCCAAGGGCACGACTCGGTGGAGCAGAGCGATTTTAAGAACTCGACTCAGATTGAACCAGAAGCTTCACAAACGTAGAACGGCGAGGGTGACCGGGAATAACCGGTTGAAGAAAGCGGAGGTTAGGAGAGTGGGGAGGAAGTTACCGGTTGTGGAGAGAAAAGTTCGGGTTCTGAGCCGGTTAGTTCCCGGTTGCCGGAAGGCGTCGTTGCCAAACCTTCTAGAAGAAACGAGTGATTACATATCGGCTCTGGAGATGCAGGTGAGAGCCATGGCTGCTCTCACCGAGCTTCTCTCCGGTTCGCCGGTTAATCACGTCGGCTCCAGCCTCCGTTCTTCGCGTTGACGCCGC